TTGACGATTTCTTTTTCCTTATTTTGAAAAGGCTTCTCTGAGCTTGTCGTGGCTAATTAAGCGTTTTCCTTCTGATCGTTGCGTTGATCAGTTTTTTCTAGTTTCTAGAAGTATGAAACCCTGTTCAGACGAACGCAAGAACATGGCGCATTGAAAGTGATTGCCCGTGATTCGGCTGTTGGAAAGATTGCGCTGATTGAAAGCGAGCTAGCCATCATGAAACGGATCGAACATCCATTCATTGTACAAATGTTTGACAACTGGACGATTGACGGCGCTTATTATCTATCGCTGGAACTGGTTGAGGTTAGGAAAAAAACGTTTTTCCGAATACTTTTTAGCCTTAGTTTTGCTGTATAGTACTTCCTGAATACCCCTGGATGCAGAACTCGGTTATATCGTTGGAAAATACTCAAAGGGTTGGAGCGTACGGTAGTGCTGGACCATGCTCCTTTTTTGCTCGTCTGTGTTCTCTAAAGTTAGAGTGTGCGGAGAGAAGACCGTTTGCAAACACTGCCCGGCTTAGAGGGCCTAGAAGAATAGAGAAAGGCATGGCGCGAATACTTCCTGCTGGCGTTAACCCCACCGCCTCCCAACTACCACCCCAGTTGAAAGTGGTGAAGCAGGACCTTAAAGAACTTTAAAATGACATAACGACGACGAATGATCGCTTGGCCCACGATAGTTTGTCCTACTGGATGGAGCACGTTGGGCTATTGGATAGGGTTTTTGGCACAGAATTCTTACACACTTCTCGGCTATCCGACACCTGATCATCAATCTGATCCTACCCCGTGCCGATTTACTCCGGCAGCTATCGAAGCAAACTTCCCCGGTTTGTCATTTTTTCCACCCAAAAGTGAGCTGTTGTCGAACCAGGGAGGGCACGGAAATGGAAAATTCGAGAAAAATCAGCAACCAAAACGATTCTTCTTAAAGTGTACGCCCCCCTTAGGACGTTGCACGCGACGACCAGGACGCATAGAGAGCCTGTACTGTCTCTGCGAGAGTAGTCCGCCTTCTCTGGTCGTCTGCGCTCCGAGCCTATGCCTGGCTTAGGGTCATCACTTGCGAATAACTCTTTTGCTGTTCTTTTTTAGAAGTCTTCAATTATTTTTTCCGCATCTTCATCCTTATTTTTAATTTTTTGTTGCAGTTTTCCTTTTTATAAGTTTTCTTATACCAAGTTTTTACATTATACTTAGAGTTGTCAGTTTAGGGCGGCGATCTTTTTGAACATCTCTGTGTAGTGAGGCGGATAAGCGAACGTCAAGCTGCTCGTTTGACCAAGGGCTTAGTGCAAGCATTGACGTGAGTGCTTCTGGATTTGTTGCTTTCAGAAAGTTCCTAATATTTGGCATGTATTCCATCATATGCCGGATGTACCTTATATGTCATATGTACCCCCACTATCCTGAAATTGTCTTTCTGCTTTCTGAAAGGCGGCAGTCGAACTAAAAAGGTTTTCGCCTAGATTTGACCGTCCCCTCCCCCACATCCCTACCACTTTTGATTTGCTGCAAAGAATTTTCTTTGCTTCAGGTATCTTCACGACAACTCTATAGTTCATCGAGATGTGAAACCGGAAAATTTACTAGTAAGTTGCTAATGAAGTGCTTATCGCACTTTTACTCAGACTTTTGCTTTGATGGGTTTGACTTACGCTTTGCTTTTTGGGTGCAGTTCGGCAACGGGGAGGGGGCATTTTGCATATTTGCTGCTTCACATTGTCTTGTCGAGCCATCAATTAGAAATCTATGAAATTTGATGAAGCCATGAAGTGCTGACAGTGATAGTCTGCAGAGACTACTTGTCATCTGTTGTACTCCTGCAAAAAATACAATGAAAACAATGG